GCTACCGTGTTCACACTGTTGATACAAATTTTCAATGCTTCGAATTTTTTGTCGCAGGACTTATTTGCCAACCTAATAGTTGGCTTACATCCCGATCGAGCATTCAATCAAGGAAAGTGGCATCACACACCAGAAGCAATAGTAGTGGTTGTCTAGAAACCAGAAAAATAAGGGATTTACTTGGTGACGCAAAGATCGGTAAGTGAAAACTCGGTCGAGATAGAGAAGAGAAGAACTGAAAGGGAGTAAACGATAAAAGAATAAAATGAGGTGAGGTAAAGATAAAGTATAAAATGTGACAACCCTTCGACAAGGTTGTATAGTACCACTGCCGAGGTGATAGAGGGTAACAACTCTTGAAATTCACTAGCCTTTCATGTGTACCGGGATGCATCTACAGCAGCACCTAACGTATCTCATATCAAATGAGCGTGATAGTGCACTCGAGTCAAATGTGTATATAAACAAAACTACAACTGCTATTTCAGTACGACTATGCTCTCAAGTACATGTATGTGCTAAACAACCTGTGTACAAAATTCAACGACTCTGCGAAAATCATCGAAGCAATGCGTACAATCTGCTCAGAAACTCGTGCTCACTCCATCTGAAATATTTCATTCCTAATGACCACTCATTTCTGCTTATTTCAATAAAGCTTCGCAAGTCAAGCTTCTATAGAAGTCAATGGCATAACAACACCGGTGATAATTTGATGACCATGCAGAGCTTACGAATTATTGACGAACGTCACCGTCAACGTCAAGCGCGGCTCACCCAAGGCTCCCACCTTCTCGTGTTGAAATCTTCCCTTCGCTCAACCCCCTATCATATTTTGACGCTCTGATTGAGGAGAACAAGAGCTATTCTATTAATTACTGGCGGAACCCTAGAACACTCCAAAACACTCCGTACGCATCCCGCCCGCAATGAGCGGAGTCTTTTTGAATCTCTTATGTTGAAGTAACTAGATTCATTCCTCACTATTGTTCCGGCGTTCTTTCATTTTCTTATTCGAGTCGCGCTTATTACACATTTCACGTTCCGCCTCCTCCTTCCATCAGCCTGCCTTTCCTTTACCCTTAACCTCCCCCCTCTCCAGTGGAGTACAGGTCAATCACTCTTTACTACCTATCATCAGCGTTTTCAACCTGCCGCCTGTACACATACCAAATTCGAATGCAATATGTTCACGAAAAAAGAGTTATGAAGCTACCATCAAACATTCACTTCGCACATTTCCCGCCCCCTCCCTCCGCCCGCGAGCAGAGC